TTTCATCTCTCTCAGCTCCTCAGTAAACCAAGGAGCTAATTGAGATCTACGCCGGGTCAGAGGCCGCAGCGGCACGACTCGGTCCAGTGCCGCGGCCACGGCCGCATCCCAGGCCGCGGCCTGATCTTCCGCCGAGTCGTGACCTAATGCCTCCGGATATGGCCCAAGCTCCGTCAGGAACCTCTCCGGGTCCATCAGGAGCCTGGGACGGTACCATCTGGGTGGTTCCGTCTCCCTGCGGCGAGGGGGAGCGGTCCGGAAGTCCATCCTCAGGAGTGCATGATCTGACCATGACAAGGGCTCTATGACTATCTCCCCCATTTCCAGATCATTTTGCCAGATCATTTTGCCAGATCATTTTTCCAGATCATTTTGATTGGAATACTTTTTTGTTGTTAAAGAAGTGGGATTTGGAGGCCCTTGCTGACATGCTGTAATTTTACCTACCAGACTAAACTATCAAACCTAGGCTGCAAAAGTACAGATAGAGAAGGAAGGAAGGAAGGAAGGAAGGAAGGAAGGCTCTGTAGCCCTATATGAGATTATTCTGCTTTCCTCTGATCTATGGATAATGTTCAACTTTCTTCTGCCCTCTGTTTATATTCCCACTCAGACAAACCTACCTCTGCCTCTATGAACTAGCCCTTAGTAACACTCCAGATTTCCAGATCTGACTGCTTGATGATCTTTGAATGAGGATAGTAGGTAGATGATCCTGAGTCTGCCTCCCTGCATGCCTCTCCAAAGCTCTGTCTACTGCATACTGCAAAAATTCTTTCAGCAGCAAGAAGTAAAATGTAGAGATATTAAGGAAAACGAATGAAGTGCTGCTGGTTGAATTTCCCCCTTAGTTATCACTCCTTATCTTAGCAGCTAATTTTCCATCCTCCTTTTCCTCCTCCTTGCAACTGCTAGAAGAAATTAGCCACTTAATAAAAGAGGTAAACAGGAGACAAATGAAGGAAACTAGCTGTTCTTTCTCTACCATACATAATATTTTTATTCTGTCTAGCTATTTCTGCTTGTGGGTTAAGTAGTGTTCAATTTCCCAGCAGAGGTTTGGAGCAGTTATCATTAAGGCAAGTGTAATGTGGAGTCAAACACCTAATTTTATCTTTGGAAAATAGAGACAGTAGTGTTGTCTCTCACAGGATTGTTGCAAGAATTACATGTACATTTTTATGGCATTTATAGCATTCCTTCCACAATCAAAGAGTTTAAATCATCACAACATGTGTTTGCTGATTTATTGAGTTTTTTGGCCCTTTCATAGCCTCCACTCAAAATTAGCAATACCAGATCTGAATTACAAAAGACCAGATAGTCACTAAGTGGCAGAAAAGAGTTACAGAAAGGTAACTTTTTTGCTGTCCTAACCAAAAGTGCAATTCTAAGTCAAAAAGAAAACACCAGTTCTTACACCAATTTTCTTCGGTCCGATACCATGTGTTCGGGCATCTCTTAAAATTCAGTTGCACCATTTCTGGAAGACCTCAAGTTTAGAAAATGTCGCTCCATCACAAAAGTACTGATTTTTGCTGTTTTTTAAAAAATGTATTTACCCTTTAAAATTAAGAGTCCAAATTCAAACTCTGAGACGACATTTTAAAAATATTTTGATATTTTCAGTGTGATTTGCAGCCTGTTCTTCAGTTCTTCCTCCACCCATTTGGTTGAATCATCCCTTTAGCTTCCCTTCTTCCGTTTTTCCTACATGGAGGCATGGAAGGTCCCTAATTCAGATTTATCTAGTCTTCTGAATGTTTTGCTTTCTTGTGAAATGTGTTTATGGCAAATACTGGAGCCCTTTCCATACTTCCTAGATGTTGCTGAATATTGGAGATTGTATTTCTCAATAAACATGCATAGGACTGCCTTTTGAAGCAAAATATCGTAGTGGCACACTGATTGGCAGCCAGGAAACTATGGCTACTTCCCAGTACGGCTGTCCCTGTTTTATTAGGCCTTGCCCTTCTGATGGCCCTTCTGATGCCCTTCTGCAGCCTGACACCCCTTCTTCTGTCTCCTCATCCCCACCCCCACCCCAGATAATTCGTGCTTCGACACTCTCTTCCACTATGAGGACATGCAAGAGATCATAAAGAACTTCGTGGTGATACATGTGGACGCACCTGGCATGGAGGAGGGGGCCCCGGCCTTCCCTCTGGGGTGAGCCTTGCAGCCTCCATTCCTGCCCCACCTGCAGTGTTGGGTGCGAAGGGAATCAAGCTATTTAATGCAGCCCCTATTCTCTCCTCCCTTTCTAGGTATCAGTATCCTTCTTTGGACCAGCTGGCTGACATGATCCCCTGCATCTTGCAATATGTTAAGTGAGTCTGGGGAGGAGGATGTGACATGTGCCTGTCAGGACAGGAAAGGAAGTCTTACTTTGAATTTGATTCCAAAATGCTTCTTTGGAGAATGTGAAACTGAAAACATAATACCTGTCCATAGCTATTTAGAGCAGTCATGTCTTAATATTCTCTGTCTTCTTATCTGAGATCACATAGCAGCTGCAAAGGGCAACTGAACAATCTTGGGAAAAAAGGTGGCTGCTTTAAAGAGCTGATGACAGATGCTATGTTCATTCTTTGAAGCATTGCCTAGCCCTACCAACTGGTATTTTACTGCTTGTGAAATGCAGATATAGTAATTTATTAGAAGATGGTTTAGGGGCATCTTAAAACCTGATGATTGATTATGGACTAAGTTGTCATGATGAACCCCATGTCTAAATAGGTATTTAAAGGGATTGAGTAATTACACTTACAGGTAAGACTGCAGTTTCTTTTTTCTTAATGGAGAGCTATTTTTTTAAAAAAACTGATAAATCTGTTTTAGGGCTTATGTTATAATTGTTTATCTCAGAATGACTGAAATTGAACGATGCCTGATAAATGGGTATCTGAAGCAGCAAAAAAAAAAATAATAATAAAATAATCTGCAGCCATGAAGCTTCCCGGGCTGTAGATTACTATGTAAAGAAATAAATATAGATAATAGGAAAGAGTAAGGAAAAATGTAAACAGTGGCACTAAAATTGCACAAGATGAAAAAGTGCAACCTGTAACATTTCAAACTGCAATCAGTACCACTAAAAAAAAGTACAAAATCAGCAAGTCCAAAACAAATTTTGGAAATGGTTGCTCCACCTGAACCTCATTGAAGAATCAAAGCTGCCAAGGCAGCCCCTGTTCCACTGCCCTTTGCTACTTCATTTTTCCTTTCCACAGCTTCACCAGCATCATTGGAATTGGAGTTGGAGCTGGAGCCTATATCTTGGCACGCTACACTGTAAGTAGATTGGGGCCTAGCATCTGTCATGCAGGCAAACATGTTCTGCATGCCAAAGGGGCATGGTCAGATCCTTAAGTCAGGGTGACTTGATCATCTCTGAAAGTCACAAGCAAATCAGGCCTCTGCGTGGCTGGCTTCTGGGTTCCTGTTCATAACAGTACTATGGGGGAAAACAATCCACAGTGAGGTTTTAGTTGTTTGAACTGTGTGGTATTCCGACAGGTCAGCTAGAGAGGTATTGCCTTGTCTTGCAGTGCTTAGGAGAACAAATCCAGGAGAATCCTCAAGAAGCATAAAAACAGCAAAGCTAGCAACTGAATCTTATTTCTCCTGTGGGTGTCCCTGAAAATGTGTTGCAAAGCCAGAAACTAAAGCTTGAATTCAGTGGCTAAATTTTCCATCTTGTCAAAATGTGGTTATATAAAACTATATAAAACTATATCATGTTTTATAGGTAAGCTTGATGTGTAAAGCCCAGCTTCTCAAACTTATTCAACAAACCATAGTTTAATGATGTTGTTGTTGTTAGTTGCGAAGTCATGTCCAACCCATCACGACCCCATGGACAACGTTCCTCCAGGGCTTCCTGTCCTCTACCATCTTCTGGAGTCCCTTTAAGCTCATGCCTACTGCTTCAGTGACTCCATCCAGCCACCTCATTCTCTGTCGTCCCCTTCTTCTATTGCCCTCAATCTTTCCCAGCATTAGGCCCTTCTCCAGTGAGTCCTTCCTTCTCATTAGGTGGCCAAAGTACTTGAGTTTCAATTTCAGGATCTGGCCTTCTAAAGAGCAGTTAGGGTTGATCTCCTCTAGGACTGACCGGTTTGATGTAAACCCAATTTTTGGTCTGAATCAGATTAAGTACTATAATTCTCCTCAGGCATAAAAAACATATTATATCTCTCCAATTATCTTTCATGTTCTTCTTGAGCTGGCATGTATAATTCCCCACCTGAAAAAAAATATAACAACCCTTTAAGCTAGAGTACATATTGAGTTTCATGATTAAGTGGGATATATGTGAAACTAGGTTGCCCCAGGCCCAATTTGATTCACTTAACATTGCCTCCCCTATATATAAATGTTGTTGCAATAAAACAGTGTCATTTTAGTGCTTAAGAGATTTTGATAATTGGTGTGCATAGTAGGGAAGAGAGTTGGAAAAACTGATCTAGTTGTAGAATTTTCCCTGTCAAAACCAAAAAGCAGAAAGAGTAGTGCTGTATCAAGGGTACAGCAAATGCTTCATCTTCTGCCTATCCCAAGTCTCAAGTTGCTTCTGGTAACTGATAATAACATATCTTCTGCTGAACATCTGTATCCACAATCCTTGGGTGGCTTATTTTCCTTTCTCCATCTCCTTTAATACTTTTTTTTAAATTCGCTTAGTTGTTTTCTGTGATGGCGCCAATCATAGTAACCAAAGTCCCCTGTTCTAAACTGGCAGCCATGCTGCCTCCTGTGTGGTTGCATTCTACTGTATGTAATGTACTGTAATTACTGTACACTTTCTGTGAAATAAACCAACAATGCTTCCTTTTGTCCATGTTGAATCTTCAATTGATCTGTTTCAGTAGGGAATCCCACATGGTCCCATGGCTATGAAAAAGTATTTCCATTTTCCTCTATTGTTTTTAGTATAGTTTTTAGGGGGGGGGGTTGGGTGGTGCGATGGCTCAGTGATTTAAGACATTGGACTTGTCAACTGGAAAGCCAGCTTCCCAGGTTTGAGATCCAACGGGGTGAGCTCCTATCCTCACCCCAGCTCCTGCCCACCTAGCAGTTCGAAAGCATGCAAAAGCTAGTAGATTAATAATAATAATAATAATAATAATAATAATAATAATAATAATAATAATAATAATAATAATAATAATAATAATAATAATGAAGTTGGAAGGGACCTTGGAGGTCATCAAGTCCAACCCCCTGCTCAGGCAGGAACCCTACACCATTTCAGACAAATGGCTGTCCAGTCTCTTCTTAAAAACTTCCAGTGTTGGAGCATTCACCGCTTCTGGAGGCAGGTTGTTCCATTGGTTAATTGTTCTAACTGTCAGGAAGTTTCTCCTTAGTTCTAAGTTGCTTC